AATTATCTCCCACGTCCTAAGAGACTGGAGCTTTTGCTAGACCTCACATAGTTAATACACCTTGAGATCACCGAAGACTGCTAGCCTACTGTGTACTCAAACTATTTAACCTGCTCTTAGGAGTACAATGTAATGGTTAACCTCCCTTGCCTTGGATTTTCCAGAGCTTTTACAACCAAAGCTAATGCATAGCTACAATCTTAAATAATGAACTCTTCCATGCCCTTGACCCAGAAAATGCATGTGCATCATTTGCTGAAAGCAGCAAATATAGAAGCTGAAAGCAACTTCCAAAACCCTACCATAGAGGTTAAAAGCAACCGTTTATGGATGCTGGTTGATAGACAGTAGTGTTTGTTACCTAGATCAGTTGGAATCACTGACAATTCCTCAAATTCTACTAGAGTTTTCTGTAAAGTGACCCGTTCTTTCCCCCATGTGACTCTTCCTGTACTGTTCAATAGAAATAGAGCAAAGATCTATATCCTGTCCTTGTTAGGAACAGACACACAGAGCTCATATAACAGCCAAAGACACACAAACACAGAGACAGACATGGGGACAGGGACAGATTCACAAGACAGACTTCAGGCAGGCCCAGATTTCAGACATGCAACAGACAGGCAGGGGACAGAAGACACAGGGAGCATGATGAAGAGAATTCAAATCTGGACTTGACCTTGGTTAAGTAACTCCAAAGGGAAGTGCTTTTATTTCTTCCCCTAATGTGACACCGATGCCTTATTGGTGACTTGAGGTTAATCCCTAGTTCATATAATATGCACACTTAGTCATCACAAGGGACTGTAACATTTCCTCAATAAACCTTTTGATGCATTTTTTAGTTGCATGTAATTACTCATGTATAATTGTCAATATTAGAAGATGCTTGGCTGTATTATATAGCTCCAGTTAAATGACACTGGTGATGAACATTTATGGCCTGTTTCAGAAACACAAAAGATCCAGGAGGTGGGGGATCATTTTAAGGCATGTGGAAGAAAACAGATGCATTGGAAGGATTGGCTGGAGTTGGTTGTTGTTTATCATTTAAGCTGAGGGGATCAAAGGAAATTTTTGGCAGAGGATTGACATTATTTTTCTTTCCCCTTTAAGTTCCCATCACTTGGATATTGTGCCAACACTGTGGCAAGGTTTGAGAGAGGCACACCTCACACAACTGTGTGACAACCCAGCTATCCTGCTAATGAACTACAAAATAATTGACACTCACATTTTAATCTTTATTTTTAATTGTGTGTGTGCGCTCGTGTCTGTGTGTGTGTGTGTGTGTGTGTGTGTGTGTGTGTGTGTGTGTGTGTGTCTGTGTGTACTACATTTACATACAGATGGAGGCCAGAGGAGTTGGATCCCCTTAGACTTGGAGTTGCAGGCACTTTTAAGTGGACCAATATGGGAACTGAACTTGGGTCTTTTACAACAGTATGCTGAACACGGCCCACAGAATCAACTAACCAGGGCTTGCAGAGCAGAGACTGAACCAACAATCAGGAAGTCTATACAGGTCTGAGCTAGGTCCTCTGCATATGTTATGGTTGTGTGGTTTGGTGTTCTTGTAGGACTCCTTACAGCGGCAGTGGGGGCGGTCTCTGACTCTTCTGCCTACTTTTGCGAACCCTTTCCTCCAACTGGGTGACCTCATCCAATCCTTAGTATGAGGATATGTGCCCTGTTTTACCGTAACTTGGTGTGCTATGTTTGGTTGATATCCCTGGGAGGCCTGTTCTTTTCTGAAGGAAAATGGAGGAGGAGTGGACCTGGATGAGAGGAGGGGGGAGGGGCTAAGAGGAGAGGAGGGAGGGAAAACTGCATTCAGGATGTAATATATGAGAGAAGAATAAAGAAAAAAGAAAAAAATGGAAGTCTAAAAAAAGAACAGTATGTTGTATTAACTGCTGAATCATCTCTCCAGTCTCAGGATTGACTTTTTTTTTTAAGGAGCAAAGTTTTCTTTTGAGAATATTTTATGTGAACCTATATTTCTCCTATCCAATTTAATGTTTCAAAAATAAGTAAATTTTTATCCACTATCGTAAATATTCATACAATCAACTCTAAAACTATTTCCCTTGTACATTTCCATATTGATCTTTTTTTTATATAATATAATTATTTCACATCATGTACCCCAATCTCACTCACCTCTCAGTTCCTCTGTATTTACCCCTCACCCCTGCAGCATACCCCCCCCCAAAAAAAACCCCAAAATTAATTAAAAAGAAAACAAAAAAAAACCACCTCCTCCATCTTTCCGGTCTCTCCAGCACTTCCTCGTTTGTCCTAGTGGCATGGGGAGCTGTGGTGTGTCACACTCTTTTGTCCAATCAGATCCACCCACAAATGTTCATTGCAATTAGTCATTGATCTGGTTCAAGGCCTCTGGCCTCTGGCACACCTTCATCACTGGACCCTCACCAAAACTTCTCTGGGACATCCTGCTGTTGCCCTGAGTCATGGAGACTCTAAAGCTATCATTCTGCAAGAACAGTCCCTTCATGTGCTCCAGCAGGTCATAGGTAAGGTAGATGCTAGGCCAGATGTTAGGTCCCAGGCCACTGGGATCACCTCCCTCAGGCAAGGGGCAGCGCCAGCTCTCCCATGCCCGTGGTGAGCAGTGGGGCCATCTCTCCTGCTGTAACGTGCAGCGAAGGGCAAGGCCAGGGGCCAGTGAAGGGTAGGCCTGGCTCAGCATGGCCCTCAGCTTTCAACACACATGGTTCCTACGACCCCCTGTGGTAACACAGGCCATGGACAACAACTCTGGCTGCTACAGAGCCATGGACCCAGACATGGCCCTAGGCAGCACCATGGACCTTGATGTCACCATGGCCTTGGTTGAAACCACAGGCCACCCAGATGAGTATAGGCCCAGCAGCAGCATAGCCTTTGAACATCAACATAGTCTCAGATGGCTCACTAGATCCTGTCCATGTGCATGACCCTTGGTGGTAACAGGAGCCATGGACATCAACTCAGACCCTGGCTGTGGTGGGCCATGGATCCAGACTTGGCCCTTTGTAGCAGCCTGGGCCTGGACAACACCATGGCCCTGTGTAGCAGTACAGGCCACTCAGATCATCATGGCCCCGGCAGTGGCATGGCCTATGGAAACTAACACGGCCATAGGTTGTAGCCTAGACCCTGGGCATTCATGTAGCCTTTGATGGCAACATGGGCCACGGACATCAGCACAGACCCTGGCTGCTGTAGGGCCATGGACCCAGACATGGCCTTCTGCAGCAGCCTGGGCCTGAACATCACCATGCCCCCCCCCCCCCCCCCCCCCCCCCCCCCCCCGGGCGGGGGCCCAGCACAGTCCACTCAGGTCAGCAAGACCCAGACACCAACATGGACATAGGTGACTGAGCAGACCCCAGGCATCTGCACAGCCCTCAGTGGTTACTGAAGCCATGGACGTCAAAACAGACCCTTGTTGCTGATAGGTTTTCTGTAGACTGATAATAGGTTTCTCCGCCAACACAGTAAGCTAGATCAAGCCAAATTAAAAAATAAAAGACCAGATATATTTGAGCAAAACAACTTCTGGGTGAGTCCTCCAGCCCCCAGAGGTGAGAGGGGAGGAGGGGGAAGGGGGGAGGAGAGAAATCACATGGCCATTCTAAAGGAGGGGCTTACATACCCTATAGGCGCTGGGGGATGACACGTCCTCCACAAGCTGGCTTTGTGCCCAATGATAAACTTTGGGTGGGGACTTGGGGAGCTGGCAGCCTCAGAGGAGGAGCCGCTGCTTGGCAGTTTTTCTGAGAGGGCGGGGTTTGGAGAGGGAAGAATGGCTGGATTAAGCAGGGTGAACAGGAGATTCCAGCTGAACAGCTGCTACAGAGCTACAGACCCAGACAGGGCCTTGGTAGCAGCTCAGGCCCGGATGTCATCATGGTCCCAGCTGGCAGCACAGGCCCGTAGATCAGCAATGCCCCAGCAGTGGTGTGGCCCTCTTAAACCAACATGGCTACACGTGGCGGCCCAGACCTGGAACAGCTTTGTGGTCTTCGGTGGCAACATAGGTAATGGATGTCAACATAGACTCCGGCTGCGGTAGGACCGTGGACCCAGTCATGGACCTTCACAGTGTCACCTTGGCCCCGGGTGGCAAGCAGGCCTCCCATATCAGCCTGTTCCTCAACACCTTTTCTAATTCAGTTCTGCCTCTTTCCACAGCACGTGAACCATTCTGCTTCTCTTTCTCCCACATTTCTCCACCACATATTTGCTCATCACAATGGCACCTCCCTGCCCAGTGCCTTCCAATGTGTGGATGCCTTCATCCAGTTCCGACTGAGGACCCAGGCTGGCCCGTGGGTGTCTTTCACCCACCTGAGCCGAGTGGCACCAGGCAAGCCTGTGGAAAGACTTTTTTTTTTTTTTTTTTTTTTTTTTTTTTTTTTTTAATGAGAAAGTATGTACAGATTTAAAGAAGTCAGTTTGTGAGTACTTGAAGTAGGCTTTCGGTTATATTTGTCTGCATCCTTAATGTTTCTGTTATGAATCATTTTAGAGATTAAGCTCATAGACATTAATTAGAAGCAACTAGTTAAAGCGGCTGAATCAAAACAGAAGGCATCTTTGACATGGCAAGAAACCCTCAGATCCAGGATCTCTTCCTCTAATTCTGGTCTTTGTTCCTTTAAACATCGAAGACTTTCTTCCCACAAAGCACCCTGCTCCATTGACCAGAACTCTGGCTTTTGGCACAATACACATTACCAGTCCGAACACAACAGATTTGGTAGAGAGAAAAATAATGATCATACTAAAAAAAAATTGACTTCAGCTTCTGGCCTAGTATGTGAGGCATTTAAAACCAACACCCCATCTTCACAACACACAAAAGGCTAAACATACTGAAAGCTAGCATGTCCTTTTAGATTTGCCAAAGCGAGGAAAATAGATTTGCCAAAGAAGTGACGTCACTGTTCTCAGAGTTAGAAAGACAAGTAACGAGAGTCACAGGGCAGAAGCTTCTGTGGAACCAACACCTGGCAAGAAAAGCTACAGGAATCAGTGCACTGCTGGAGAATCAGCACAGAGAAGCCTGGAAGCTAAAGACTCTAGGAGCGTGCAGACCCAAGAGGACGTCCCCACAGACTTGTGAGTTTTGACTGAAGGAGCTCAATCCGGTCCTCACAATGAATAATGGAGAAAACTCCATTCATGCTTCTGACAGAGATTGGGAAAGCAGCCTCCAAATGCAATATGATGTACAATGATGCATACATGCATACAACGTGTGTGTGTGTGCGTGTGCGTGTGTGTGTGTGTGTGTGTGTGTGTGTGTGTGTGTAAAACTTGTCCAGACAGTAGGAGACTAATACCACAAGGAAAATATGTCTACATAAAGATAGAAAAATACAGGAAATATCAGACCTTTTTTCTTTTTAAATTTAATCTCTTTGAGTTATTAGTGCTTAAAGAAAAAGCGTTAGTATCTTTGTGATGCAGTGTAAGTCAGCTTTATGGTGGTCAAAGTGCAGTGCATGGACCGTCCTTTCTGATAATATACATGAAGGTAGGATTTGAAAAGTTAAAGATACGTTTGGTGTACTTCCGAGAAATCACTCCAGAAGAGGGAGCGGAGCTAATAAGCTAATGTTGTCGAAAGTGATGCAAAGACATAGGGCGGGGGGGGGGGGGGGGGGGGTGAGGGTTGGGGGGGCTGGGGGCTGGATAACGGTGAGCAAGAGAGGCTAACACAAAACAAGTAGCGAAAGGTGAGACTTGAGCTACTCATACAAATAATCACTGAACTCTAGTTTAAAAGCTCCAAATTTAAAAAGTAGAAATTATTAGATTGGATAAAAAAAACAAAGATCACATGGCTTCTAAAAATTAAAATAAAACAAACTGTGTGAATCATAGGTGGATCACGATTAAAATGATATAAAAATGATACTGCAAACCCGATGACAGGCACATGGAGTGGCTTTACTACGTCAAAGTGGGCTCTAACACAGGATGATTGCCACAGATTAAGGGCACTTTCTTGAAGGGTTAAGCCTCTGAGAAATTAGAAAAATCCTACATGGGCTATACCTAAAATATATATTTAGAGGTAAAGTGATAAACAGAGAAAGCCAAATTGGGAATATAGACCAGAACTCTTAGAAGCTGATAAACCTATAGATACACATCAGTATGATTTGAATAAAACTGTCAGTCAGTGAGGCTGGAGAGATAGCTAAGTGGTTAAGAGCACTGGCTGAGAACCAGGGTTCAATTCTCAGTACTCACATGGTGGCTCACAACGGTCTATAACTCCAGTTCCAGGGGATCCTATGCTCTTTTCTGGCCTCTCTCAGCACCAGGCATGCATGTAGTACACCTACATAGCAAAACACTCATGCATGTAAAATAAAAATAATTTAAAAAGCAAAGAGTCATAAAGAAAATCAGAAAATATTTTCTATGGAGTGTAATCAAAACCACAAGATGTGGGGATGCTGCCAACCACAGTTTACCAGAAACCTTTACATCATTAGATGCTTGTATTAGAAAGATCTAAAGTCAATTGTCAACAATTCCACCTCTGTAGCTCTTTTTAAAAATTGTGATCAATGTGTGGAGCAGGGGGATTTAAAAATAAGAAATCACCGAAACAGGAAACAGAAACAATAGAGGAAAAATTCAAACTAGACTTTTGTGAAGAGCACTGTGATTGGAAATTCTTTGTATTAGTGATTACAGAATCAGAGTCAATCCCCTCCCTGATTTTCAGGGTACATGTGATGTCAGGAGACATTTTTGATCCCACCATTATGGAACTGGTACCATCATGCAGAAGCCCAGGAATGATTCTTACAACTGAGAATGTCACTCACCCCTCTGCCCCTCACAAACATTCCTAGTGCTCCAGCTGAGAGTCCTTAGGGGAATATTCACAACACAATTTCCCCCTTATGGATTGAACAGACATCACAGACTCTGTAGATATTATATTATTATAGTATTGATAAATAAGTATTATGAATAACTGCATATTATAAATCCCAATGAAGTGAAATAGAAAAAACTCATGAACTTAATTAAACAATAAATAGATAATTGGGATACTATATTCTATTAAAGAAATTCAATATTAATACTACCAAAAAAAATGGCATAGTTGTATGGTAAAAAAGCCATTCTACTAAATCATTAAGAAAGATGTAATTGTGGTGATATATTGTATACTCTAATACAATTTGCCTGAAGATCAGAGAACAGAATAAGTCACTAGATTAAACATAGATGCCAGGCAGTGGTGGCACACACCTTTAATCCTAGCTCTCAGGAGACTGGATCTCTGTGAGTTCAAAACCACCCTGGCCCCATGAGATTGACTCAGTCTAGGAAAGAAACAGAGCCAGGCAGTGGTGGCACACACCTTTAATCCCAGTACTTGGGAATCACACGCCTTTAATCCCAGCACTAGAAAGGAAGTGATATGGCAGGGTGGAGAAAGGTATATAAGGCGTGAGGTGAAAGGAACTAGAGCCTTTTCTGGCTGAGGAGTCTTAGAGGTAAGACGTGGCAGTGGCTTGTTCCTTTGTCTCTCTGATCTTTCAGCATTTACCCTAACATCTGGCTCCAGGTTTTTTTTTAATTACAAGAGCAATTTAGAATTCAAGCAACATGTAATACTAATTGTATAGCTTATAGACAATAAAAGAGAAAAAATACTTCCCAACTCACTATATATGAAGATTTTTGGCAGACAAAAATGAGCAATGCTTTAAAGGATTTGACTCCATGATCAAGCAGAGTTTATCCTGGGAATGCAAAGTGGTATTCCTGCTAAAATGAGTAAATCATCACATTAATATGCAAAAACAGAAAGCATATAATCTCAACAGTTAAGAGAAATGCATGAAGTATTTTATAAATTTTGTACTAAACTATGAATAAAGGAAAATTTTCTTAACCCCAAAGCTTATTGACTAAAAATGTGCAGCTGACCGCAGACTGGATGTGGGATGCTTTCCCTCTAAGTTCAAGCACAAGGCAAGGATATGTTCCCATAACACTTTTACTGGACATTATATTAGTTCACCAATACAATAAGAAAAGCAAAGTATCTGGTAGTAAGGACAAAATACCAGGCTACATAATCATGTACCTACCTAGAAAATACTAAGGAATTTACAAAAACAAAAATAAGCCAAAACCCAACCCATCAACCAAAAACTCAGCATATAACTTACTAGAAGTAATAAATAAATTCAATAAGATTATATGATTAAAAAATTAATATACATAAACCTATTATATACATATATTCTATCAAAAAAAGCTCTTGGAAGTTGCTGTTTCTGTTATCACAACAAAAGAAAAAGTTTTGTTGAACACTGCTTTGACATCATTTGAAAATATCTTTCTTCTTTCTACACAAGCTTCAGGGGTAATCAGAGGTGAATATGATCAAAATACATTATGTATATGTATAAAACTGTCAAAAGTAAATCTATCATTATGTGTAATTGATACATTCCGATAAAACATTTTTAAAATGGTAAAAAGAAAAAAGTACGTCATATTTTTTTCAGCTCACTTTTGCTTCTCAGGTGAAACACAATTTTATTTTGTCCTCAGCTCATACTAAACACGCTCTCCTCAAGGACATTAGTGAAATCTTAGCCACCGACCTACAAGGTACCTTTTACACTGTTCTCGTAGTGTGCCACCTAGTCCAATCCCCCTGATACTTGCTTTGGTGTCCATGACATCATCATCTGCTTGTTCTCCTCTGGACTCTCTGGTAACACAACTCAAATATTTTCTTAATAATGCCGAGTGGTATGGGTGCACACCTTTAATCCCAGCACTCAAGAGGCAGAGACAGGAGAATCTCTGTGTTCAAGGTCAGCCTGGTCTACAGAGAGAGTTCTAAGACAGCCAGGTCTACACAGAGAAGCGCTGTCTCAAAAAAAAACAAAAACAAACAAACAAATTAAAACCTCCTTGTTATCTGTGTCTCTCACCTGTTGGTTTTCTTTCCTATGCTTGAACCTCATTTCCTGTAGTCATACACCCTGAAATTCTGAAGAAATGAAAGGTGCACTTTCATAAAAGTTCTAAGAAAAGATAGGAGTTGAGAAACTTTGAAATATTCTTGACAGCTTATTGGGTGAGTTACTTGGTTTATTCAAAATACATAAGTTATGAACAGTGTAATATGTTCAACCATATGTTAGATATGCTTCCACTTTATCTTATGATATTAAAATTAAGGACAGTTCCCTTATTTTATTATCCATAAACTACATCACGTATCTGCCAATAGTTTGCAAAATGGATTTTATGAAGTCGATAATGAGAAATTGTAAGGTGCAAAACAACAAAAACTTCAATGGTGATTTTAATAAAATAATAACCACCACAATAATAATAAATCTCACTATATAACTGTTCAACATTTTTGTGTGCTTTAAAAAATCTGTGTGTGATAGTCACTGTTGAAGAAAGAAGATAGAATTGTTAATTTTCTACACAAAAATCAATGACAGTTTTTTTTAAAATTCATGTTATATTTTTCAAAGACATTTGGTCACCTTTTAAAATTTATTTTAGGATCTGTGCTATTACCCTTGAGCATAATCTAATTATTTCACAAAGGCCTAGAAAATTGTCATCTCTGTTGTCAGTAATAGAGGAGAAAAAGAGGAGAAATCGTTGATGTCTAAGTGGTACAAAAGGAACCTTAAATCAAGAGACCTACCTTAAAAGGGAGGGCAGGAACAAGCACATGATCGGAGTTGCTTACGAAATGTTGAGTTTCGTCGGACCCACTGAGTCACAAGATTAGAAAGACTGAATTATGACAATGGCATGGATATCTGGAAGAATGCATGAGCATGTGTAGAGGACACAAGTAGCTTCATGAACAAGTCTTCCAGAAGCACATTATCATCAATGACTGTAGCATAGTCCCCACTCCCTTACTTATACCTGTATCAACAAGGGTAGGCAGTCCTTTACAACAAGCTGGTAAAACACAAAACAACAACAACAAAACAGAAGTTTTAACTTACAGATAGGTTGGCTTAATGTGTGGCTACAGACTTCTAAAGAGTCCTGCACCATGGTTCCATGGTCCTATGGATGGCTGGTCCAAA